GAAGGCCTGATTCCTGCAGCCCAGAAGCAAGCCATCAGCACCAATGCCATTAAGGCCAGGATCGAAAAATCAGCAAATGACCCAAAATGCAGACTGCAAGGAAGCTGATGAAACCATGGACCATATCCTCAGCTGTTGCAAGAAAATTGCACAGACGGACTACAAACAGAGGCACAACTCTGTGGCCCAGATGATTCCCTGGAACTTATGCCACAAGTACCACCTGCCAGCAGTAAAGAACTGGTGGGATCAATACCTGGAAAGGTAGTAGAAAATGAACACGCAAAAATACTGTGGGACTTTCGAATTCAGACTGACAAACTTTTGGAACACAATACACCAGACATCACGATTGTGGAAAAGTAATAAGTTTGGATTATTGATGTCACCATATCGAGTGACAGTCGCATTGAGAAAAAAACTGTTATCAGGACCTCAAAATCGAACTGCAAAGGCTCTGGCATCAACCAGTCCAGATGGTCCCAGTAGTAATCGGCACACTGGGTGCTGTGCCAAAAGATCTCAGCTGGCATTTGGAAACAATAAACATAGACCAAATCACAATCTGTCAACTGCAAAAGGCCACCTTACTTGGATCTGCACACATCATTCGAAAATTCATCACACAGTCCTAGATATTTGGGAAGTGTTCGACTTGAGATTTTGTGATAGGAAATCCAGCATAGAGATCTCGTTTGCTGTGACATATTGTGTTTTTGTGTCAGTAAAATAATAATAATAATAATAATAATAATAATAATAATACACTTTATTTATATTCCACCCTTCTCCCCTAGGGGACTCAGAGCAGATTACAGCATATACAGTAGACAGAGGCAAACATTCAATGCCATACAAGCACATACAATGAGACAACCCAGCACAGACAAGTCAAAGGCTTCTCCTTTCATTTCCTGCTTCTGGAGGCAGTGCTTGTCTCTGGCTCTAGGGGAGGTGTTTTTCTCCATTTTCAAGCTGAGGAGCTTATGTTGTCACCTCCTGGTCTTGTGGCTGGCAAGATTGTTTGGAACATCTCTTAGCCTTTTCCCACCGAAGTGGTACCTATTGATCTACTCACATTGGCATGTTTTCGAATTGCTAGATTGGCAGGAGCTAGGGCTATCAGCGGGAACTCAGCCTGTCCTGCGAATTCATACTGCCAATCTTCAGGTCAGCAGCACTTGTTATTTGGCAGCTGACATGCTTTCAATGTTGATTGAGATTATTGCCATGGTTGGTCCTGAAAAAGTTCGTTGGTTGTTTTGCTTGCTTGTTTGCATGCTGCAAGTCGCTTCTGGTTGCTTCTGGATTGAGAGAATCGGCCGTTTTCGAAGACGTTGCCCAGGGGACACCTGGATGTCTTGCAATCCTGTGAGGAGGCTTCTCTCATGTCCCCCTTTACATTTAATCAACTACCAAGCTTGCAAACTTTGTGTTTTGTCTGTTTGTTTTGTTCTGTCAGAAATGTAATTCAATTGTCGGGTTGCCCCTGACACGATAGATACATAGATAGATAGATAGATAGATAGATAGATAGATAGATAGATAGATAAGTTCAGCAGAATAAGGGTTTAACCCATTTTGCCATTTTATAAAAAGTATGTCTTTTTAGAACGCCATTGTATATAATGAGCATCCACAGAGCGTGGTACCCACTAGAATGGGAAGGGCGTGGAACCAAACCCCAGCAAAGACTACCCTCCACCATTGTGGTCCTCTATAAAATGAACTTTTGTAATCTTTTTATATACCATTTCCACATTCCCCAATAATTTCATTTTGATTTAAATTGGTCTCAGTCCATTGTCCAAGTTAGAACTCTTTGCATCAGTAACAACAAAGCTCTCAACTGAGAAAAGAAGGCACTGAATGCAAGAATGTGGGGGAATCATTCCTCTGGTAATGCAGTGGAAATAACATTATTTTAAAATACCTTATATAACAGACTTGTTATGACAGAGATGCTTTTATACCCTTCACTTGCTTTCAATCAATCCTCCCAATTAATTGGAAATATAGCCAGTAGGGAAGGTGTGTGTGCATCCGCATCAGTGACACCTATTTAAAATCGGAAACTCAAAATCTGTACTAACTGAAGTTGGCAGTTCTCACTGTGTGGCGGGTGATGCCTAAGGGCTTGAGGCTACCAATCAAGCCAAAACCAGTGACACATTATGACCTTCCTCATTTGTATTCCTTTCGTTATCTTGCATTTTTAAAGTAGACATTGTCTTAGTCACCGCGCGCACACTAGCTTTCAACTCTAACATACCTGCAACTGCACTTCCACATTGCAATACCATCGAAAAGACTGATTTAGCATAACAATCTGTCCTCTGTGAAATAACACAGACATGCCTGCCGGTGCGGCAGGTTTTTTTTTAACTTAATGCCTGTACTTAGAAGAAGACCTATAAACCACTCTAAACACCTTTGCAGAAGCATACGAGAAATTCAGCCTCTCATTGAACGCTGAGAAAACCAAAGTGCTCTTCCAGCAGTCACCAGCCAATCCCTCTGCAATGTCAGAAATACAGCTTAATGGTGTAACATTAGAAAATGTTGACCTTTTCCGCTCCCTTGGCAGCCACCTCTCCACCAAAGTCAACACTGACACTGAAATGCAACACTGCCTGAGCTCTGCGAGTGCAGCATTTTCCAAATGAAGCAGAGAGTTGTTGCAGGTTTTTTCGGGCTATATGGCCATGTTCTTGAGGCATTTCAAAACCTCAGGAGAAATGCCGTTTCAAAATGCCGTTTCGAAATGCCTCTAGAACATGGCCACATAGCCTGAAAAAACCTACAACAATCCAGTGATTCCAGCAATGAAAGCCTTCGACAATACATTGAAGCAGAGAGTGTTTGAGGATCGGGACATCTGTAGGGATACCAAGGTGCTTGTTTATAAAGCTATTGTCCTCCCAACCCTGCTATACGCCTGTGAAACGTGGACTGTCTACAGATGTCACATGCAGCTCTTGGAACGATTTCATCAGCGCTGCCTCCGGAAAATCCCGCAAATCTCTTGGGAACACAGGCGGAGAATAAGAAGGTCCTCCATTGTGCACGTGGCAGAGCTCAGACTGCATTGTAATAGGTGGATTGTGGTTTGCTCTTCTCCACGCTCTCATGTCTTGGACTCCACTTTGCATCCCCATTTCTTAAGGTTGGCTCTGCATCTCGTGGGGGCGGAATAGAATTAATAGGACCGAGAAAGGTGCAAAGCATGGCCCATAATGTATATATTCAAAGGACTGCATAAGATGATATAGGTAGTTCAGATCCTTACAGTGGTCCATTAGTGTTGATGTCTGAAAACAATCAATCTGCTTATCAAAAGAAAGCTTCCAAACACTTTTAAAAAAAGTTGTATGTCATAAATGAAATAGAATCAGGGCATGGGAGGAGGATAGATTTAAATGAACAATGTACAGGGTGCGGCAGCATAACTTCCTTTTTTAAAATGCACGCCATTCAGTCGGTTGAAGACGTAGTGGAGCACTAGTGGTCTCGTTCGAGAGGAGGGAGTATAAAGTTTTGCCCTGACACAGTTCAGTCTCCATCATGAGTTGGAACGGTGAGGAGCGGGCTTTTGCCGTTGAGGCCTACTTTTAGAGCGGATGTTCTGTGATCGCAACCCAGCGCACCTTTCGGAATCGCTTTAATTTAGCTCCATTGGCCCCTGTCCTGGACCGGAAATCAATTGTGACATGGGTAATTACATTCAGACAAACTGCAAGTGCGACAAGACGAAGAACTGGAGTCCCTCGGCCCATTAGATAACCTGAGAACATTGATGCAGTGAGAGCTTCAATGTTGCGATCACCACGGCGTTCTGCGCACAAACATGCGTCTGCCCTTGGACTTTCCGATCGTTCTGTGAGGAGAATTCTTCATGATGATCTTCATTTCCATCCTTACAAGATGGCAATAGTGCAGGAACTTTCTGAACATGACTTCAATTCTCGGAGGAACACCTGTGAGGTTCTTCTCAAAGTCGTTCCTGAAGACGCTATTGTTTTTTTTAGTGATGAAGCCCATTTTCATTTGTGTGGATCTGACAACAAAAAAAATATGCGCTACCGGGCTGACAACAATCCTCGAGAATTGCATCAAAGGCCTTTGCATTCACTGGAAATCACATTGTGGTGTGCAATTTCCTCAGCTGGAATTATTGGTCCCTGGTTCTTTGAGGAAAATGAAGTCGCAGTGACAGTGAATTCGGACCGCTATGTAAACATGTTACAGGATTTTTTTCCCACGGCTAGATGGGTTGGACTTAGGGGACATTTGGTTCCAACAAGACGGTGCAACTGCACACACTTCAAGAGCATCGATGGCTGTTTTGAGGGAACACTTCTCATCTCAATTAGGGGGGATTTGGAGTGGGCAGCCCGCTCTCTAGATTTGGCCCCTTGTGATTTTTTTCTATGGGGTTTTTTGAAATCCCGTGTTTATGGGAACCATCCAAGGACCCTACAAGATTTGAAGACCAACATCCAGGAGGAAATTGCCAACATAACGCCTGCTATGCTGGCAAGAGTCATGACAAACACGGGAAATCGGTTTACTCAGTGTATGGAGAATGGGGGACGCCACCTACCTAATTTGATCTTCAAAACTACATAAAACAAAACTTTAGGTATGTGCCTACATTATAAAAAAATTCTGATTCATACAATGGGTTTTATTAAGTTTTGAAATAAGGAAGTGATGCTGCTGTACCCTGTATTATGGTGTATCTTGCTCCTACCACACAATCTAATTTTGGATGAGATGGAGCAAACGAGGATAGCTAACAGGAAGAGGAGAGTCAAGGATTATAGCAACAGGATTACATTGGGAGGTTGGGGGTCAGGGAGACTGAATGGGAACGGGCAAGGATAACACCTTCCAGGTAATGTGTTTCTTCCGGTTTTCTCCCATAGTGTCCTAACAAACCTGAGCTATGACATGTCCGACTGGAGTTGTTTATCATTGACTTTGTTCTTCCATTCCAGGCTTCTCCAGAGACAAAGTTCCTGACCATCTGGATGCTATTGTCATTGGAAGTGGATATGGAGGCCTGGCTGTAGCTGTGATGCTTTCTAAAGCTGGGAAGCGGGTTCTAGTCTTGGAACAACACGGGAAGGCAGGAGGCTGCTGCCATACCTTCAATGAGAAGGGTTATGAGTTTGATGTAGGTAAGATGGCATGAATACACTGGAAGCAGGACAGTGTACTTCTGACTTACACAAAATCTCAAAGAAGTTACTCCTTTGAACTATAGCCCCAGAATTCTCCCACTCGTGTAGCCATTGTAACAGGGAATTGTAAATAGTTCTTAATCTTGTTTATAACCAAAAGGAACTGTCCTAAAAATTAAAATAAATCTATGCCCAATTTTGCTCAAGAAATCCTGATTCTGTGAACTGCATAAATTAGAACCAAAGTAGATGGAACATCCACGTACTAATTTTATTATTTGATTTATCTATAGTATTTATATTCCGCCCTTCTCACCCCGCAGGGGATTCAGGGCGAATTACAATGTATATTTATTTATTTATTTATTTCAAAGTTTTATATACCGAGCTTCTCACCTCATAAGAGGGACTCAGCCCGGTTTCCAACCATAAAAACACATACAATCGGTAAATATCAAAATACACATTACAATAAAACATTTAAAAAAGCACATATATTTAAAACTACAGTGGTCAGTCGTCATACTAAAATCGAATATACACCGTCTTCCATCCAGATCATTGTCTCATTCTTCGAAGGCCTGTCTCCATAACCACGACTTCACCTGTTTCCTGAATGTCAGGATTGTTGGGGCAGTTCTAACCTCTGGCGGGAGAGAGTTCCAGAGTCGCG